GTTTACCCTAAATTTCTTATAATACATGTTAATTACAATCAATTTGGTGATTTTTGAAAATAATTTTTGAAAATTACTGTTACAATTTAAACAGTATGTCTTGATTCTTACCTGAATAAAAAGGGAAAATTAACATACATTCTTTGTTAACGTTTTACATTTATTAACATTTTACATTCTTCTCCCACATTTCAAGTTCTTATTGACATTCTGATTTTAATTCCTGATTATTACTGAATTATTTTTATAGTAAATGTACTTCCAAGAATTAGTTCTGGTATTTGCTTTAAGTTTTATAATCACATGAAGAGCAGTTACTTAAATTCATGTGTTTTATGGGTTTTTGATGCTTGCTGCCACTGTTTTTATTCTATTGCTTTTTATTTTTACTTTTATCCTGGCTCATTTGCATTTGCATTTTCTTTAGGAAAGAAATGTAGATGATGTTCTTGCTGACCTTCCACGTCTCTGAGATTGTTCTTTGTTGTCCTCATATAAGAATATCAATATAGGTGGCTGTGGAATTTATGTATCTAGATGTTTTCTCCCTCTAATGAAGGTTTTTGGTTGCTTGTGTTCTGCTCTTTAGAATTCTGCAGCAGTAGCTTGGTGATGTCCTGTCTTTCTTGAGTACATGATTTGTTTGTTCTTTGTTTATTTTTATGGTTTTCTATACTTTTGGAATTTTTATATTTACCCTTGAGATTCCAGAATCTAACCAAGCTATATCCAAATTTTAGTTGCTTTTAATTAACTCTGTTTTGTAGTTTATATAAATTAAACCAGTAAGCCAAAGTCTTTCTTCTTAAGCAATAACTTTTCTTATATTTCAAGCCATATTCAACTTTGTTTAGTTTTTCTTGGATTCCTAGTATAACTAGATTTATTTTCCTGTATGTGCATCCTTTCTTATTATTCCTGTCATCTCTGACCTTCTCTGAGTGCTGGATGCATTTCTTATGTCTCTTATTTGCCATTTCAGTTTTCTGGAATTTTTAGACTTCATTTCATTGCCTGAATTGCCGTTTTTAGTTAAGAAATTGTTATTCATCATTTTGGTAGGCACAATCATGACTTTCCAAAAATGTCCATTATTTAATCTCCAGAATCTATGAATATGCTACTTTAAATGGCAAAAGGGACTTTTAAAATGTGATTAAGGACTTTGAAATGGGGAGATAACCCTAGGTTGTTTGGGTTGGCTCAGTGTAATCATAGGAGTCCCTAATGTGGAAGAGGGAAGAAGAGTTTAGAATGATACAGTGTGAGAAAGACTTGTCTGGCTGTTGCTGGCTTTGAGGATGGAAGGCAGAGCCATGAGCCAGGGAATGTGGGTAGTCTCTACAAATTGGAGAGGTTGAGAAAAATTCTCCTCTAGAGTTTCTGGAAAGGAACAAAGCCCTGCCAATACTTTGATTTTGGCCCATGACAATAAGATAAGAAATATGTATTTTTCAAGTTATTATAGTTGTGGCAACTTGTTACGGTAGCAATAAGAAATGAATTCAGTCTCTGGATAGTTTTTACTAGATTTTTTTTTGGTCTTTATCATGGCTTTTTCTGTTTATAATGTTCGTACCCTTACAAAGCACATTGAAAATACAAATTAGAAATATGCTATTATTTAATCTTTTCCCCCATAAATCTGCTGCAAGAGGAGGAGGTATTTTCTGTTGTTCTTCAGATGGCCATCTCCTTTGAGATTGTATTTTCACCATTGTTTTTGACATATATATATATATATATTTTTGTTTGCTCTATCATTATAGCCAAGATTACCTTCAAGGCTTATAATCAAGTCACAGTTGAATTGGATTCTCCCAGAGTTTGATGTGGGTTTCTGCATAAGTCCATTAGGTCCTGAAGAGGACAGAGAGCCCTTTCAGACTGCCCTTCTGACTATTGGAGATCTGCCATGATCTCCTTCACTTGTTCTGGAGGCCTGCTGCTTTGTGCAGGTGGTAAGAGAGGACGTTTAATTATTGTTTCCATTCAGTCCTGTTGTACTAAATCTAGCTGCAGTCCCTCTTTTTCTCACGTATATATTCTACCCTTAGTATTTTTAATTCCTGGTTTATTTTCTACTATAGTATGAACATTTAGCTGGTAATTTTTTATGAAATACAGAGTTCTTACCCAGAATTCCTTTAGTATAAAATTTTAAATCTGAAATAGACCTTAGGTATAATTTAGTCCAATTTCCTCATTTCACAGATAAAACTGAGGATCACAAAATCATAAAGTATGTCATTAAATAGGATATGGTTTTTATGGTATCACTATTCAATTTCTGAGAGATAAGATATGGCATAGGCCTGGGTCACGTGCCATTTGTTAATTCAATATATGGGACACCACTAGTGAACATCAGTCAGTTTTATTCATCTTAGCCTATTGTGACTTAAAAGGCAATGTATACTTTTTTCCTTTGCCATCCTTAACTGTGTTTCTAAGCTGGGAAGAGTCAAGGAGCTGCACATACCACTGCTTGCTTTTGTTGACAATTGGTGTTCACAGGTTGGAATGCTGTGAGGATGTGCTTGATATGTGATTTAAAATTTATTTTTCCAGAGAGAGTAAGTGTTGTAGGGGCTAAAGGAAAGAAGAGAATCTTGGAATTTTGCATTTGTGCTAACATTTCAAAAAAGTACCCTTTGCAGAAAGGGAACTGGTAAAATGGAATTATCTTTAACTTATTAATGCAAACTATATATATTGAGCATCTAATCAGTCTAACTAAGAGTTCGATGCTATATAACAGTGAATAAGAGAGCTAGATCTCTGCCCTCATAGGGTTTATAGCCTAGTGTAGGGAGGTGTCAATAGATAATTAAGCAATTATTATACCGTGCGGTAAGTGTTGTTGTAGGAGAAGTGCAAGGAATTGTGGTAGGACTCACCTTGTCTAGAGTTGGGAAGGTCTCGGGAAGATTGGCTAGAAAGAATAACCTTTCAACTGCATGGGGAAAGAAAAAGGTAGCCAGATGGAAATTGGGGGAAGATTTTTCCAGGCCAGTGGTCCTCAAAGAGTAGTCCCAGGACCAGCATCACCTGGGCCCCCACCTCAGATATCCAGAGTCAGAAATTCTCAGGGTGTGGCCAGCAATCTGTGTTTTACAAACCTTCCAGGCAGTTCTGATGCAGAAAACCACTGTTCTCACTGAAACTGAAAAGCAGATGTGAGAAAGCACAGCACATTAAGTAGAGCTGAGATAGAATCTGGTCATTAATAGTTTGAGTTGAGGCTGGAGGGCAGGTAAGGCCTGATAATGTGGCTTAGATTTTTCTCTTAGGTGCACTTGTTAGCCATCGAAGCATTTTCAGTCGGGGGACAGCTTGACCTACTATCGCTTTTAGAAGATCACCAGAGAACAGATTGGCACTGGGTAGAAAGAACACTTAGGAAGCCAGTAGTAATAAAGCTGGTGGTCATGAAATGGACTAAAGTAGACAGGTAGAGCAGATACTTAGGAAGGAGAATACACAGGATTTGGTTATCGGTTTAATGATGAGGACGAGGGGAGAAGAAGGAATTCCCAGGTTTAGCAGTCAGGCCACTGAATTGATCATGGTTCTCTGGCCTCTGGAATAGAGAATATAGGAGGAGCAAGTTGGGGATCGATCACGAGGATGGTTATGAGCTTGCGTTTGGTTTTGAACACAGAGACTGAGGGGTAGTCAGTTAGTATACCAGTAGGCACCTTGACATTTGCCTAGAGCTTAGGAGAGAAGTGTGGGTTAAATATATAGATAGAGGAGTATTTGAGATATATAAGAGAATTGAAATCTTGAGGACATATTAGAAAACTCAGTGCAAGTGTGTTGAGTGAGGATATAAATTGTGTAGAAATATCAGTATTGCACAGAGCATAGTGAACTCTCAGGAATGACTGAGAATGAGCAGCCGTAGAGATGGACCAAAACCCCAGGAGAGTATGATGTCAGGAAAGCCAAAGACAGAATTTTCTAAGAAGAGCCTCTCAGTCATGTATCTGATGATCTGAAATGTCAAGAAGGTGAGGACTGAAACGTTTCCATTGGAATAGCCACCGATTGGTGTGACTTGGGAAGTTATATAGAACTCAAGAATTTGACTAGAGTGGATTTGGTGGAGGGGTGGGGGCAGAGCTATAATATAGTTAACTGAGAAGCGGAATGAATGAGACAGAGACCAGTTGGCTATGAAGGAGAAAAATGATCAAAGCTGGAAGGTGAACATGCCATGGGAGCCTTCTTTTTCTTTTTTCTTTTCTCTCTCTTTCTTTTTTTTTTTTTAAAGATGGCAGAAACTAAACTTACTTAAATGTGTATAGGAAAGATTTGGGAGGGGTAGGAAGGAGAGAAGGGGGAATTGGAAGGGGGATTGACGATGCAAGGAGGGGAAAGGAAGCAGTTCATAGAACAAAGTTCTTGAAATGGGAGGAATGGATGAGGTTGAGAACAGATGGGTGACAAAAGGTAGACCTTTTCCATTATAACAGAGGAGGAAGAAAGGTTGGATTTTTGCATAGGTAATTTTGTCTTTTTGATGGTAGAAAGGTAAAGGTAAAAGAGTTCCAATCTGGTGACTTCTATTTTCCTCCTTTGATAACTGCTGATAGAGAGAAGGTGGGTCTCAGAGAAAAGTAGATAAGTTTAAAAAATCATTGTGGAGACGATATAGAATAATAATTAGGGGGAAAATAATATTTCTTGTGGCACTGAGGTCTTAGTTGAGGTTGACATCATGAATTTATATCAGAATCTATCTGCCAGATATGTCGATTTTTCTCTAGCATTTCTCAGAAGCCCTGTAGGTGTGGAAGTGGCAACCAATTGCATTCATTCAGGACTGGTGTTATGCTAAAAATTATTATGAAAGTATGTGGGACAAGTAGATTAAAAGATAAAGGTCTCTTCTTTCTTATCTGAAGTTAAAAAATTCAAGAGGATCCAAAAATTTAAAGTTTTTTCATAACTCAATGTCAAAACCTGCTGTGAATAAATTGATGTGAGGCTATTTATGATGTTTATTTATTAAATTTAGTATATATTCATATGTTTTGCTTTAGAAATTAATGTTTGATTGTGGAATGCTGCTCCAAATTTTGATGGGGATGTTACATCATGTATGGGACTGTAGAACTGTTCTTAAAACCAGAAAAATTTTGAATTCTGAAGGACGTCTGACCTCGGAGTCTTCAAGAAGAAAATGCGTTCCTCTGTTAGCAATGAAGAGATGGAAATGATACACTATGGGATCTAAATTGGATAAGGAAAAGGGGAGAATAGGAAGGCAATCTGTTGGGAAAAAAAGATGCTTAAAGAAATAGATGACTTGGAAGAACTGATATACCAAGGGTGTAATGAGAAAACTGGGACTATGAAAAGTGCTAAGTAACTAAAATGTATGCAATTTCCCAAGGGAGACAGTTCTGAATGGTTATGAAGTCCAGGGTGTGACCACAGGAGTGGGCAGCTGAGTTGTAATAGAATAGGTCATTAGAGATGAGGTCAAGCAACTGAGAGGAGAGAAAATTGGATGAATAACCCAGAGTAATCAGCAAGATTTGGGGTGCGATGGAACTTACAAGCCAAGCCCTTCAACTCTTCCCTGGACCCTGATCTCTTTAAGAAACAGACAAGTGAAGTGATAAGGAATTATGCATCATGGTAAGTGTAATGATAGAAGCATGATCCAAAAACTATTAAAGTTTTAAGTGAGGACAAGTCAGAAGACTAACCATTTAATAAGCATTGCACTGTTCTGGAATATTCAGTGTTTGGTAAGCATATATGCAAGCCTATGGATATTAGAGTATTTGATCAGGTATAAATTAGTATTAATAATTAATAAGCAAATACATTCTAATTGATGTTGAAAAATAAAATACATAACAATAGTTATTCCACTTTTTCAAAGGTATACTTTTTCTAATCTAATTGTAGAGCAATGTCAAAGTGCTAACTGCTTTTTGGAGGTTACATTAGGTAACATATTTCTTGTGTCCTCTAAAAAGAAAAAAATTCTCAAACGTCACAGATGGGTTGACAAATGCTATTCTGGGGATAAGGAGTCATGGGGGTAGACAGTGCTGACCACAGGAATGTCAAGTAGCAAATGCTGGCTTTGGGCAAAAAAGCTTTGATGCATAGTGACCTCTTTGAAATGTCAGAACTGATGGTCCTTCTGAAGATTTGCATTACAAAATGCCTGTCGCAGATTGAACATACAATGTGAGAACAGAAATATAGAATAATAGGGCAATAATGCCCTTTCTATAAACCAACTATACTTACAGGTTCCCTTAAATAACAGGTCAAGAAACATTTCACTATGGTAAATTTCCAATTGCAATGCTCTGCAAAATTCTCATCTGTCTCATGTATTTTAAGATTTCTGGGCCATGTGGCTTTTACAGTAGACTTAAGTGACATGCAACCACTGAGCACAGACCTTGTCATTTTTTTTTTTAACTCCAAGTGTCTTTAATCTTAAAGAGAGTAATACAGAGAGAAACCTTGGGGTTTCAACATAATCCTAGAATGTTACGCAAAATAAGATTTTCAAATTCTTTGCCTTTTTTTTTGGTTTGTTTGCCACATTTACCAAAGAAGTCTTGTGTTGTCTATACATATCTTTAAATTTGCATCTGTGGTTTCTTCTTTTCTTTTTTTTTTTTTTTTCATCTTTCTTCCTTTTTCTTGTAGTTCACAACCATGAATGAACCGCAGTGTTTCTACAATGAATCCATCGCCTTCTTTTACAACCGGAGTGGAAAGTATCTTGCCACAGAATGGAACACAGTCAGCAAGCTGGTTATGGGACTCGGAATCACCGTCTGTATCTTCATCATGTTGGCCAATCTACTGGTCATGGTGGCCATCTATGTCAACCGCCGCTTCCATTTTCCTATTTATTACTTAATGGCTAATCTGGCTGCTGCGGACTTCTTTGCTGGGTTGGCCTACTTCTACCTAATGTTCAATACGGGACCCAATACTCGGAGACTGACAGTCAGCACGTGGCTCCTCCGTCAGGGCCTCATCGACACCAGCCTGACGGCGTCTGTGGCCAACTTGCTGGCCATTGCGATCGAGAGGCACATCACGGTTTTCCGCATGCAGCTTCACACACGCATGAGCAACCGGCGCGTGGTGGTGGTGATCGTGGTCATCTGGACCATGGCCATCGTCATGGGCGCTATCCCCAGCGTGGGCTGGAACTGCATCTGTGACATTGAGCATTGTTCCAACATGGCGCCCCTCTACAGTGACTCTTACTTAGTCTTCTGGGCCATTTTCAACTTGGTGACCTTTGTCGTAATGGTGGTCCTCTATGCTCATATCTTTGGCTATGTCCGCCAGAGGACTATGAGGATGTCTCGGCATAGTTCTGGACCCCGGCGGAATCGGGACACCATGCTGAGTCTGCTGAAGACTGTGGTCATAGTACTCGGTGAGTTCTACCTCGACTGTAACCTACTTTACAGATTCTCAGTGTCTTAATATAAACCGTATTAGTTTATGATAGGGGTGAACAAACAGTATGAATAGTCACAGGTGGGTATATGTGCAGAAATTACAAGGGGATGAGACATCTTTAAATCAAATGTCTGTGAAGTCAGCATACTGGTCTTTCTACAATTACAGAATTGGTTTTAGGGAAATACACATCTCAGGGTTGTGATACAAATGAGGGTGATGTGAAAGGTGTCACTGATGAGTCTGGCTATCAGGTATTCAAAATATCAGCTTTTGAAGTTTCCTTACAGCCCAAATTGTGGAACTTTTGCCTATGGGCTCTCTATTACAGGTGTTCATATAGAAAGTATTTTTATTTAATATGAATGTGCTTTCATATATATTTTTATGAGTCTTTCTGAATGTTATCTTTCACAGTCTATAATTGTTACTATATACGTGTAGGTATGTACATTAGGGTTTTCTATAGATTTACTGCACAAATGGATTAGAATTATCAGCATTCTGTGACAGTCATCTTTGTGAAAACTTATGTTTTTTCCATTAATTTTCTGTTTTTAGTGGTGGAAGTTAATTCATTTTTCAAGGTGAAGAGCAAAATTTTACTCTTTTTTGTACACTCAAGTAACTTTGCCTTTAAATAACTATTGTTCTTCCTGGATGAAAATTCATGGTGGTAATCAGGAGGAATATATTTATTTATCAGTTCATGTACTCAGAAAATAATCAAAGAGTATATAATAAGTTCCAGGCCCTGTGCTGACTCCTGGTGATGTACCCCAAAGAGGACCCACACAGAACAATGTGTTTGGATCTTATGCACCTGTTTCAAAAGTTCACTCAGTGAGAATTTGTTTTTAACATTCCCCTATTGAATTACATTTACTCTAGAGACTATAATCAGGTTCATGTTTGATCACATTTAAAAAATATCTTAAGTAATCTTTAGCATTTCATTTTTCCCCATGGAAATGTAACAGAAAGTTCTTCCAATACTCTGCTCCAGTTGGTAAAACAGTGTTGAGTCAATGTAACCTGGGATTGGGTGGCTCCTTTGGAAAGAGAGTCCTAATTAAGGGTAAATAAGCCAGCATTCTGGCTGATGCATTGGTCCCATCTATGGTTAGCGCAACCCATCAAGGAGATCATATCTGAGTATCCTGACTGTGACCTTCTGGTAGATCTATGAGAATAAAGACAAGGCCTTGGGATTGCTGGCACAACTAAAGCCTGTCTGTACCTAACTGGCCAGATAATATCCCCACTGGGGACTCCATCACTGCAGCCCATGAAGTTTAGTAGAAATATGAAATGGTATCCTATTTGTTTAATTAACCCCCCAAATCTTGAGCATATCCTTACCACAGGGACACATTTTCTGTGATATAAATGATAACATAGTTTACCGTGCATGCTATTTTTGTATGGAATTAAGTAACCCAAGATATTTTACTTCTGTATTGACTCAGATATTTATTTGCTGGTGATCTAAATGTTGCATCTTTTCATGTGGGTGTGCCTTTCCTGTTATCATCTCACACCCTGTTTACTTCATAGAACTGCCAGCAGAAAGTGACTACTGAACTTGGACTATGAACCTGCCAAGTTCTTGTTTTAATTTTGATCTTTGTGTATTTGATTTGTTTTGGTGTGTAGTATGCTTTAATAATTCATATAAAATTAACGTTTGTGCCTTATCGGATTGTTATATAGATTAAATGAGAATTATTTGGAGGGCTTATGGGGCAGTGTTTTGATGTACATCTGCCCTGAGTGCCTCTTCCAGCCCATCACACCAAACCCAGACTTAAGAATAACGGAAATAATGTTGCCCTCTGAGGTTTAACTAGTAGACTTTACAAAGATTGAATACATGTAACCGCCACTGGGATAAGTAGGGTTATTCCTAGAGGTGTGATGGAAGAAGTTTTAGAACATGGAAAACTCCAATCAGGGTGACAAGTGAAGAAGTTTGGTGAGGCAAGATGTGTATGCGATTGTACTATAGGAAGGAAAAGCTAAATAAATGGACTGTGGCATTTTTGAGAAAAGCGGTGAGAATGCGAGAATCAGTAGGGCAAGATAGTGGTTGGTTGGAAAACTTAGGGAATTCAAAATCCTAATCAAGGTGTTTGTCAAGGTGATGCCTAATGCCATTCATACAACGTACTCCCCTGTGTGAATTTTGTGCGGTCATGATGACATGGAAGAGATGGTTGGTCTTGTAGGAATAAGAAACCTTGTTTCCCTGAAACTCTTCTCATTGTAAATGAGCTTATTGACAATCATGCTTTTATGGTGCATATTAGGGTTTTAATATCTATCTTCTCTGCTGGATTGTCTTTGTGGTGGCAGGCAGGCATTGTAATGGTGTGTTGTCCATTTCCCCACATTGCCTGTTGTAGTGTCTGGCACAAAGTAGGTGCTCATTAAAAAATGTTAAGTGAATGTGGTAACAGAACCAAGTTTTTGAGCCTTTAGAACCAAAGACCAGAGAGCCATAGTGAATTCACTAAGGTAATCCCATTTTATTCAGCCGAGTGGCAGAAGCCAGACCTACCTACACTCCTATTATGTTTTGTGCCTTCCAATCAAATACAACAGCTTGGAAAGTGACTGGTCACAATGGATGTACAATAAATAATCTGTTTACTTTCATTTGTTCTGGGGTGATTCCAATTATAATCATAACTGTGTAGAAAACCTTCAGTTTCCATTTAACTACCTCAAAATGTTCAGTCCTCATGAACAACAAGGGATTTATTGGTCAACAAGTTGAATTCCTAGGAATTAACATAAAATAAAGACATCTTTGAGATTGATGATGACAATATCTGTAGCAGTTTTTAAGCACAAGGTTGTAAATAACCTACTTTTGAGCGAGTAGATTGCATCTTAATATTTTTATTTATCAAACTCTTATTTAGCACTGATCATGTGCCCAGCACTACTCTACCTTAGAAATTAGAATCTGTAAATAGCAACACTATGGAATATAAGTACCATTATCTGTTTGTTATCCTCATTTTGTAGAAGTGAAAACTGAGGTTCAGAGAGATTAGGTAACTTGCCCAAGGTAGCACAGCTAGTTAAATACAGGAGCTAGAATACATGTCAGGCACTCTGGTTTCAGCTGAAAGTCTGTGGTTTTCAGCTCCTGCCTCTCTCTCTCTAATAGAAGCTCGTCAGGAGGCTGTAGTTTGTTACAAGGTTTGAACAGCACTGTCTTATTAAATAGAAACATTGTGATTCCATTTGTTTCTGTTGATACTGCCTAGATGCCTGTGCTTTGTTCCTGGGTAGAAGAAAGTTTTTAAGAGAGCATTCCTTCTCTTTGCATCTTATGATGTTCCACAGTTGAATCAGAGTGGCAGTCTAGAAGTTCTTCCTTATTTGACCACGGTCTATCTTGAGTGGTAAGCCCTTGCCTTTCTTGCTATATTCTTTGTGACGACACTTGTGTTGGAAATAATTAGAAAAGAGGAAAACCAGATTGGAAAGGAAAAATAATGATGTGAAGGTTTTGCATCTTAGTCTTTGTTTGTAGAGCAAGAAACAGAAGCCCTACATGGATTTATTTTGCTTTATCTCTTTGGGGAAGAGAGGGAGACACTTTTTCTAGTTAGATCTGTTCTGGCTGGAAATAATTACCACTGAAGCTAAATTACCACTTATTACCTGTGTGCTCTGTGCTGGGGCCAATACTTGGCACAGCTCTTCAGGCATGGTTCATAACCTTATGCCAACAAAAATTGTATTTCCCCCATTTTATCATTCATTTTGTAGGTGTCAGAAGTGGAATTTAGCTGTAAAATTGCTGTAGACTATGACCTTTCCTCACGGGACCCTGACTCTCCACATAACATACAAGAGACTTTTGCTGAGAGTAATAATAGTGGCAGGGGCTCAATGACTTTAAGCCCATTCTTTTCTTGTTCATTCTGATGAAAGATAATTTTGCCAATATCCTGTTAGAAAATCTTAAGGTACTTCTCTTTTCAATTTAATTCAACAAACATGTTGTGAGTGCTAATGATGTGTTAAGGGATAAAGAACGTTGAATGAAGTTTGCTCCTTTCTGCACAGAGCTTTTGGTGTTGTAGAGGAGACTAAGAGTTGCAAAACAGCTGGGTCCTGGTTGCTAGTAGAGGTATGGGTGGAGAGATGACAAGGGGAGGGAAGCGAGGCCCCCTGACAAGGCAATACAGTGCTGATCTTGATGCAAGTGGAGGGAGGAGCTTGCCATCCTGTGGGGTGGGGGTGGGGGGGGAGCTAAGCAATAGCAGGAGCAACGGTCTTCACCTTTGGGGAACAGTACACAGTCAGGTGTGATTAGCATATGGTGGGTGTGCTGGGTGGAGTTTTGACCAGCGTCAAAGGCTTCATCACGTACTCAGGAGTTTGAGCTTCTGCTTTGTAGGGGATCTGAGATGCTGAAGGATTCCCCAAGATAAAGAACACCAATTCCTTATAGGGGTAGTCATGTAAGTTATCATCCAAACTGAGACACTTGGCGGGGTGAAAACAGGCACTAACTGGTTGGGACATTGGGTCAACAGGCATAAACCAAGACTGGTCTGGTCAACTCAGGATGTATGGTCCCATTCCTTCTAGGCTCTGCTTTCTGTTTGTTTATATTCTCTCTAAATTTTCTTTTGACCTTTTAAAAGCAGAGCTCAACACTGGACTTTTCCACATTGTGTAAAGATGGTAAAGGAAAACTTAATAAAAAACCAAGATAAGTGAGAAATTAATACAATGCTGTTAGTAATAAAGCTAACAAGATGCTAATATGTGTAAAACTATGTAACTTAGTAGTTATTTTTTAAAATAAAGATCTGTCCTGTTTTTGAATTATAAAGCTGAAAAGGTCCTTAAAAATCACACCATCCCACTCCCAAATTTTATGAATAAAGAGAGTGAAGCCTCCAAGTTAATTGAGACATTTGGGTCTGAGTTAGCTGCTGGCCCAGA